TGTAGGTTCAACATCCCAGCTGTATGTAGGTTTAACACCCCAGCTGTCCTATGTAGGTTCAACATCCCAGCTGTATGTAGGTTTAACATCCCAGCTATATGTAGGTTCAACATCCCAGCTGTCCCGTGTAGGTTCAACTGCCCAGCTGTATGTAGGTTTAACATCCCAGCTGTATGTAGGTTCAACATCCCAGCTGTATGTAGGTTCAACATCCCAGCTGTACTATGTAGGTTCAACATCCCAGCTGTCTTATTTAGTTTCAATATCCCAGCTGTCCTATGTAGGTTCAATATCCCAGCTGTCCTATGTAGGTTCAACATCCCAGCTGTATGTAGGTTTAACACCCCAGCTGTCCTATGTAGGTTCAACATCCCAGGTATATGTAGGTTCAACATCCCAGCTGTCCCATGTAGGTTCAACAGCCCAGCTGTATGTAGGTTTAACATCCCAGCTGTATGTAGGTTCAACATCCCAGCTGTCCCATGTAGGTTCAACATCCCAGCTGTCCCATGTAAGTTCAACACCCCAGCTGTCCTCTGTAGGTTCAACATCCCAGCTGTATGTAGGTTCAACATCCCAGCTGTATGTAGGTTTAACATACCAGCTGTATGTAGGTTCAACATCCCAGCTGTCCCATGTAGGTTTAACATCCCAGCTGTCCCATGTAGGTTCAACATCCCAGCTGTATGTAGGTTTAACATCCCAGCTGTATGTAGGTTCAACACCCCAGCTTTCCTATGTAGGTTCAACATCCCAGCTGTCCTATGTAGGTTCAATATCCCAGCTGTCCTATGTAGGTTCAACATCCCAGCTGTATGTAGGTTTAACACCCCAGCTGTCCTATGTAGGTTCAACATCCCAGCTGTATGTAGGTTCAACATCCCAGCTGTATGTAGGTTCAACATCCCAGCTGTATGTAGGTTTAACATCCCAGCTGTATGTAGGTTCAACATCCCAGCTGTACCATGTAGGTTCAACATCCCAGCTGTCCCATGTAGGTTCAACATCTCAGCTGTCCCATGTAGGTTCAACATCCCAGCTGTATGTAGGTTCAACATCCCAGCTGTATGTAGGTTTAACATCCCAGCTGTATGTAGGTTTAACATCCCAGCTGTATGTAGGTTCAACATCCCAGCTGTATGTAGGTTCAACATCCTAGCTGTATGTAGGTTCAACATCCTAGCTGTATGTAGGTTCAACATCCCAGCTTTATGTAGGTTCAACATCCCAGCTGTATGTAGGTTTAACATCCCAGCTGTATGTAGGTTCAACATCCCAGCTGTAAGTAGGTTTAACATCCCACCTGTGTATTTCCTACTTTTGGGACAGGCGTGACATCCGCAACCACAAAAGACCGGAAGGGGGTCGAGGTGGGGTCGGGGTGAGATGAGGCTATTGTCATAAGATGGACGAATAAATATTAAATCATCGATTTTCTTAAGACGTCATAGTGGGCGGGTCACGGTGACCTGTCTACCAACATCACATAATGGGGAATTTCCGCACCATTGGTTTTAACAGGAGAATTCAGGGCTTACGGCATGGTAGGTAGATCTGTTAAATATATGCTGGGCTAGCATAGCCACCTCTATGCTGGGCAAGCATAGCCACATTTAAATAGGTTTATACACACACACACACACACACACACATATATATATATATATATATATATATATATATATATATATATATATATATATATATATATATAAATATATATATATATATATATATATATATATATATATATATATATATATATATAAAATATATATATATATATATATATATATATATATATATATATATATATATATATATATATATATATATATATATATATATATATATGATTGACTAGCATATTACCAAGTATGATCTCATATACAAGTGGAAAGCGTAGTCGACTATATATTTGGCGTGCTTAATCATATTGACACGAATCGCTCTGGATAGTGGCAAGAATGGTCAATTTAAACCTGTCAAGATTATCCAAATATGACAAAAACGGTCAGGTATAGAAACAGTTGTTTAAAATGTAACATTTAAACACGGCAAGAATTGCCAAATCTAATTAGGCAAAAAAAGGAATTACAATCGCCATTCATTACAACTAATAAAGCAGATGAAGTAGAGTTTATCTACTCCTAAGAAATGTATAAATTCGAGGCAGACGTTGATAACGTTCATCCCTACAGTCATTACACTTACTTATTATGTTACAAATATGACGCCCTCTGCAAAAAAAAAAGAAGAAGAAGAAGAAAAGAAAATAGAATTATGTCACGCTAATAGGATGATTACTCGATGTCATACAAACGAATGGTTAATGTCAAAATATGACGTCACCTGCAGACCAAAATACTAAAATGTGACTTCAACCACGTAAACACATGCCGTAAGAAACATACTTTTTTAAAAAATTCTCCCTCTTGAAGTGGTAATCGATTTCTTCAAATCATCCCAGGACTCAAGGCCATAATGACGTACACCCTGGGATCAAATTAAATTATCCTTCGTGCAAGAGCTGCTAATTCATCTGGCCTTTGAACATCATTTCAATAACTAGCCCTAATTAAATAAGTCTTGGGAAGATGGGAGAGATCAATATGGACGCTGAAAGATCTATGTGCTAGTAAAAGGCTGTCTGTCTACCAATAGTATAATAGTATGGGTTTATGTTTATTTCAATATACGTCAGTGTGTACGTATATGTACTTGTATGTATGCTTTGTATATGATTATACATATATTTCAAATTATATATATATATATATATATATATATATATATATATATACTGTGTATATATATATATATAAATACTGTATATATATATATATATATATATATATATATATGGGGTAGTAGGCCCTATATATCTTATGTATAATGAATATATATTATGTATATTGTAAATGTTTGAACTATGTTAAAGACTAACTCTCACACACATTTGTGTATGCTGATGTAATTAATTCTATTTCAAGATATAAGTATTTTAAAAAAAAAAAGAAAGAAGCATTGATTTTTTTTTCAGTAAACAAAATAATTTAATCACAGATAATTCCTTGCTCAACATCACATGCTAGGTGAGACTTGCAACCAGATCTAGAAACTTCTAAAACACTGGTGGGTGGACATATATACTCATCTAAATATAAAAAAAAATATAAAAATAAAATAACCAACCTGAAAATGCAAATGTGTAATTAAATGATGATTCAAGGAAGCATTGATGATTTTTCTTTTTCTTTTTTTTTTCTTCTGCTTTCTTTCTTTTTTCTTTTTTTTTTTTTAAATTTGGAAACGCTTCACGATTCTGCGTGTCATCTCTGCGCGAGGACCATGCTAATCTTCTCTGTATCGTTCCAATTTTGATTTTTTTTTTTAAAGCTTTCATTCTTTTCGTTTATTGTTTTTAACAGAGTTTCTTCCAGGCATCTCTTCGGGGGGGGGGGGGGGGGGGGGCTTGTTACCCCCCCCCCCCCCGAAAATTTTTTACCGCCCCCCCCGAACGAAATGAAATTTATATAATTTATATAAAAAATATATATACTTTTAACAGTGTTCGCCCCCCCCCCCAAAGAAAGTTTATCGCCCCCACCCCCCGAAAATTTCAAGTGCCCCCCCCCCCCCCCCGGAGAAAAAAGTCTGGAAGAAACACTGGTTTTTAATATACAAAATTATGCATTTAAAACCTTAGAAAACAAAAATAATGAACCAATTGAATTTCACATGAACAAGCATTGTTACATTTTAAAAAGCTAACAGATCATTAACTTCCAATACACAAACATATATTTTTTTAATTTATTTTTTATTTTTACCAATACACAAACATATACAATGCTCAAATATTTTTCCCCTTAAAATTAGTACAATGAAGCTCTATTATATTAGGCATGATGTTAATATTTTTTTTTATTTTTAGGAACCATTAGTTTCGTTATGTGCATATGTCTATCTAGTAGATTTTAAAATGCAAGGTTATAATTATAACCCCATCCACAACATAGGGAAAATATTATGAATTAATTACAGCTCAAATACAGAAAATTACAATTTATTACTAAAACATGTACATGACATAAAAGGCTAGACTTTAATTTGGAAATTTGGGTTTGGTGAGTAATATAAATTGGGATTTTGAAATTTTAATACACACAACAGGGTAACATCTTGATGCTTTATGAATTTGCATAACAAATTTTTCTAAAAAAACTGTACTTTTAAAATAATACTGACATATAATTTTCTCATACAAACAGGTATTTACAGACAAGGTTTTCATGGTGGATTGTTTTTAAGTCAATAAACATTAACAGAAATTAGATCAGAATTTTTTATTTTTTTTAAATTATTTCTGTTGACAAAAGAAATGTTTGCAAATTTCTTAAATATTGCAAAAACAAAATTATTCACATAAATTGTGTCATGAAAAACGTCTTATAAATTGCACATATACATAAAACCTAACAACAAAGAGAAGTGCACAACCTTTATTCATGTATCTGACAATATTGTTGTTGAATCTATTAATGTGGATTAGAATTTAGCAAAGCTTTCTTCAAGGGTATTGCTTAGATTTAGTTTTCAACCTTCACTTTTCTTGAGTACACTATCCCAATATATTCCTGTGTTTTACAATACCAAATGAACAGTGTTTCTTCCAGACTTTTTTCTCCGGGGGGGCACTTGAAATTTTCGGGGGGGGGGGCGGTAAACTTTCTTCGGCGGGGGGGGGGGGGCGGACACTGTTAAAAGTATATATTTTCTATATAAATTATATAAATTTCATTTCGTTCGGGGGGGGGCGGTAAAAATTTTTCGGGGGGGCTTCGCCCCCCCGAAGAGATGCCTGGAAGAAACTCTGCAAATGAACCTTCTTAGAAAGGTTACGAGAAATAAATTTCTATGAAACTAAAACGCATTTTTAATACATGTGTAAATTTACTTTCTTTATGGAATTGATTTTACATGTTCAAATGGTTTTTGTAAAACAATTTAATAGCTAAAAATTAAAATCAACAACAGTGAATATTTATCAGCAGCATACTTATTATTTAATCCCAACAATAAATAATTTTTTTTAAAAAGAACTATTATTTTTTTTATCTGGGTTTTAAGCTGATTCTTCTAAGTCGAGGAAATTTGTTAGTACCCATAAACAAATAATACAATCTTAATTTTGTACCAAATAATTTTAAAAATATAACTCCCTATAAGCATTTTGGTTTAAATTATCTAAACACTGGTAACAAAATATTCATTAATAAAACAATGTTGCAATTTAAAGGTTGGAAATAGCGGCTCTATATTAATTCACTTCTTTTCTCTATGTAAATCTGTGTTAATTTTAAAATCCTTTAACCTTTTATGGTAGTTAACTAGTGGAAAGAGAGGTAACAAACCTCATCAAAGTGATAGAACTACAAATTCAATCATACAGTTCAATTAAAGTGATTGACTAGAACATTACAAGTGTAGTTATTGTAAACACTACTTAACCCTCAGTTTTTTTTAATAAGTAGATTAATCAAACAAAAATTTTATAATAAAATATAAAAACACAACAAAGGAATTTTCATTTTAAAAAAATGCCAATTTTTCACACATCTTTGTTTGCTTTTCCAGTGCCTCACTAAGAATGCAAATTACAATAAGTAATACTTGACAAGAAATAAGTTAAGTAAATACAAGATATAAGCGTAATAACAAATCAGTATTTAGAATCGAAGGCCTGGAGATAATATAATATGGTTCAGTTTCTCTTCTTTAGCTCGACGTAAATGGCACAATGTTCTTTTTTCCATGAACTTTTTCAAAAACTCATCAACATCTATTTCTTTTTCCAAAAATTGCTCTGCTATAATTTCTGATTCTTCATCAGCTTCCATAACAGCTACTTTAAGATTTGATTGTATATGTAACGGATGGTATTGGTCAGACAATGTCATGTGGTGCTCACAGTGCTTCTCAAATTCTACTTTTAAATTTTCCAGTTCAATATTCTTTTCTTTTATACTTTGTTTAAGACTGTCAATATCAGGCTTTTTGGATAAGTTACTTTTTGCTAAATGAACACAAGCTGAGGAAAGCTCTTCTAGTTGTTGAGTAAATTTTATCAATTCTTGTGACTTTTGGACCATCTCTGTTATTTTTTCTTCATCACTCATCAGTTCCTCAAGCTCAAATAGTTTCATATCCTTCAGAGCTGGGAACTCTGACAATATGTTTGTTATTTGTGAGTGCCCAAGTGTCAACTGATCCAATCCCAGGTCACCCACAGTCCCTTGATTTCTTCGAGGGGGGAGGGGTGGTGGAATTACTGAAAGCCGACTACCAGGGTAAGGACATAGTGTATAATTTGGTGATGCGACTGAAGAGCCAACAGTAGGGATACTGCAGGGGCGTAGCGAGGGGGGGGGGGGGGCGGGGGGAGCGGACCGCACCGGGTGACACCATTTAGGGGGGGGGGGGGTGACACCAAGGCAAAAAAAATAGCAAAATATATAGAGAAAAACTTGAGGGGGGTGCAAATCGAAAGTTTGAGGGGGGTTCAAATCGAAAACTTGAGGGGGGGGGGGTGCAAATCGAAAACTTGAGGGGGGGATGGTGCAAATCGCAAGTTTGAGGGGGGGGGGGTTGCAAATCGAAAACTTGAAAGTTTGTCCCCGGGAAGGGTCGCAACGCCTCTGGGGGGGGGGGGCGGTGACACCATTAAGTGCCGCACCGGGTGACACCCGACCTCGCTACACCACTGAGATACTGGACCCTAAATTGTAATGCTGGGGTAGAATAACCGGTGGTGTCTTTTTGGATTACTCTAGCACATTCTGTACAGCAAGCCCGAAATGCATGGAAAAATTGTTAATACTGTTGCACCCCACAACTTTCATCTGTGTGTCTACCCATGGATGTGTGACAGCAGGCTGTACAGTGAGTACAGGTTTGTCACTAGGACAGGGGTCGGCAACCTTTTGAGACGGAAGAGCCAAAAGTTACAATTTACAACATTACCCGGTTTTTAAAGAGCCACTAACATTTTTATGTCAATAGTATATTTGTTTAGTATATATATATATATATATATATATATATATATATATATATATATATATATATATATATATATATATATATATATATATATATATATATATATATATAATCCTAAACAAATATCATTATATATATATATATATATATATATATATATATATATATATATATATATATATATATATATATATATATATATATATATATATATATATACATATAATCTAAAATAAATAGCTTTGAATATATGATATAATCTCATTTAAATTTGTGTTGAGAGGATCTACTATGTAAGTCAGAGTACTTGCATTTGTTTTGAATTACTCAAATCTCTCGGTGAAAACATCCTTCATTTTGTTTATATTAATGCTGAAGTGATTGAATAGTAATATTGGTTCATAACGATATTTTTTTAATAGATTTTTTCGTAATTAAGTAATTTACCGCTCACCATGTATTCAACAAGAAAACGGTTTTTTTTTTCGAAACAAACCACTTCTTCAAGCAAGACATAAGCTGGGTTTTTCTTTCAGTTTTTCACTTAGCTGGTTTTTTTTCTTTGTGATGACCAATATGATGTTGAATGTTTCAATTCGGAATGGACAATGTAATATGAAGTACATTGAGATAGGGAGTAGCTAAATATTCTAATAGAATAGTGAATGTTTATATCTATTGTTATATCGTTTATTACCAAGTGTTGCAGACTAATATTTTTATTAATTTTGAAAATAAAATAAAATAGTTATTAATATTTGTGCATGGAGCTGAAGAGCCGCAACTGGACACCAAAAGAGCCGCATGCGGCTCGCGAGCCGCAGGTTGCCGACCCCTGCACTAGGAAAATGTGATGGCAAGTTAATCAAAATAGAGAGATTTGTTGAACCTTGTTTAACGTTGACTCTGTATTCTTGGTCTCTTAGTATTTCTACAGCCCCAATTTTCTTAAGACTTTCCACTTGCTTCGACTTTTGAGCTTGAAGATTGGCAGCTGATGATCCTTTTTTTTTACTAATATTACATGGTCGATTCATGATCATTCAGATTTAGCCAGTCACTCCTTTAAGTAATTAAAAAAAGTCTAGTGACAATTTTAGCGCAATTTCCTTATGTTATCTAAAAATAGCTCTGTCGTAGCGTAAATCAAGAGCAGGGTTAGTAAAACCATTGGTTAGTTATTAAAACGTTTTTTATTTTATTTTTTTCAGTATTTTACATGTTTTATTTACAATAGAGTAACATGACTAAAAACCATTGCGCGCCTAGCTACCGAACGTGATGTCGCAGCCATTGAACGTGATGGCGCAGCTATTGAACGTGATGACGCGTGTGGTGTGGTTTCATAAAATGCCTACTAATTCGGTCCAAATTTTAATTAATTCAAAAAAAATTTTGTGACCAAACGAAAGGATATTTTTGAAAACTTTCTTCGGCAATATTGTTCTAAATTATGGCAGGAATCGATTGGTACATGTTTCAAGTCGCTAAGTGGTCTGGTTGCCGAGATATGGGCCAAATACTGAATTTTTTCGAGGTTTTTTGGCTTTTCCGGGAAATCCATGAAAGAAACCCGGAATTTTTATGGCCTATGTTCATCCTCGTAACTTGCTTAACATAATTGTTTTTGTAACTAGTCATCGATATTGCTTCGTTGAGGAGGAGATACGACTTAAAGCTGCGGACACACATCCATACATTCATCCATCCATCCATCCAGAAATGACGGGTTAATAAACGCAATTCTCCAGAATGGAAATAGCGCTAAAAAGTAAACCAACTTTCAACAACTGCTTGCCTAGCAATGCGAAATTTCAGCCTTAAAGTGTCTACAAATCAAAATTTAAAAATAGCTACGGTCTTTTTATTTAAACTAGAACCAAAGGATATTTGATTTAAGCAATAAAACAAAAACCATTTGTGTCAAACCACAACATTATATGATATAAAAGCTTACTAAGAAATAAATAATCCTCCTGATTTTCATTGTCTTTTACTATTGACTTTCTCAGTATTCTTTGTCCCTTTTTGGTAATACAGTAATTGGTTATTTCCCTTTACTGTCAAGTCATTAACAAATAATTAGCTAGCGAATATTTTTTTTAATTGCATTATTTCAAAACTTATTTAACATTTTTCTAACAACATATTTTAATGTTTTATAAATATTATATATATATATATATATATATATATATATATATATATATATATATATATATATATATATATATATATATATATATATATATATATATATAAAGAAAGAGAAGGGGGGGGGGTAGAGAATGTGGGAGTAAAAATCCCTTTTCGAACCTGACGGTTCATGGGGCAAGTGAAGTAGAGTTCGCCTGTTTCTGTGACTTTGGGATATGTCAACTCTATGCCCACCCGCTTGTTTCCCTAACGTAAGTTATGTACCTATCACACCTGGGTGGACTCAGGAACATCCTACTGACATGAACACGGATTCGAACTCGTGACTTTTGGGTTAGCAGTCTAGCGCTCTACCACGCTTTATATACAACACATTGAATATTATAATTTGTGTGTGCGAAGGCAATGAATAAATATTTCATCTAATCTGCATGTTTGTATTGAACCTATCAGGTATCCTTTTCTACCACATGGTTTGGGGGTTGGGGTTGGGGGGGGATGTCATAATGTCCAATAAAGAAGGAAGGTGAAATTAGACAAATTATGTCATTATAAATGTGAGTCTCTATTTATCTGAATTAATCACCCTAATGTTCAGTTCTGCTAGAAGTTTGGTATTTTTTTCCTTAATAAAGGTAATTGTTTGTTTTCTCAATATTAAGCAGTTTGTTTATATGATACAACGTCATTTTGTTCTCGATAATAAGTAATTAATTTGTATGATAAAAAATTGTGGGGGTTTTCGATACTAATCCGTTTTATATTGATGCTAGGTGGTTTCAATACTAAGTAGGTGTTTTTTTTTCAAATTTCTATTTCTTTCTCAACACTAAAGCAGCTAGTTTTTTTTTACTCTTCTCCGATTTTCTTTTTTAATGTAATATTGAAGGGAACATACTTGAATATTCAAGTATTATATGTCAACATGTTAGGCGCAATATCGCCTGTTGACTCCGACTCTTTTCTTTCTAGACTTACTTCCACTGCTTTTGTCCAGCCAACAAGAATATGTTAAGGCAGCACTTGTTTTCACTCCTAGATGTGTTGATGTCCACAGCATCTGCCGGGGGGTTCGAACTTAGGACTATTCTAGTCAGCGATCATGCGCCCTCCTTCCCGACCATGCCGTCCCCTCCTGAACGATAAATTATACTTTTCTTTCCTCATTACCTAGTTTTTGTTTTTTATCGATATTTTTTAATATCTCCAATGCCAAGTATTACCTTTTCTAACTACAAAGTCTTTGTTTTTACAAGGTGTTACCAAGGTACTACTCCCCCCGCCCCCTCCAACCACTACACTGACCTTAGATTTGGTTGCCAGTGTCAAACCCTATTCCTCTAATCCAATTTGAGCCCATTAGCCAAAAAGTAGAAAATTACTTTATTTTTTTCCAAGGACGCACTTTGGTTATTTATCCACCACGTTTTTTGTTATTTACAAACAAAAATGTAATACTTAAAAGTCGGCCAATTGACTTATTCCTTGAACGTTTCTAAATCCGGATTTTTTTTCTCCCTAACAAAATCTCGTTTGGAAAATTTGGCCATCTTAATTTGTACATCGGTCGCGGTAGCGGAAATGAAAATTTTGGTTATTTTGGCTTCCTCGGCCAGCGAAGTCTATTTTTACACCGGCCAGCGCGCAGGTGGAAAAAAAGGGGGATCACCCCCTAGTTGTGACAGCGAGTTCTTCCGCATTAGCTCCCTTCTCTTTTATTCATGACTGGAGGTTGAGGCCAGTGTTAATGACGTCATTCGTGTCCCCAATGGAAGTGGCTGAGGCAATATTGGTGGAGCTGTTTCAGTGTTGTTGGGGGGGGGGGGGGGGGGCTATGGGGAACACGATTTTGTAACGGCTGGTCGAATACAGGCCACAGGGAGATCGTAGACAAGTCGTAGGCAGGCTGCAGACAGGTGATAGGTAAACCACAGGTTGACTCAAGGCAGGTGATAGACAGGTAGAAACGTCGTGGGCAAGAAACAGCCAGGTGATAGGTAAACCACAGGCTGACCCAAGACAGGTGATAGACAGGTAGACAGGTCGTAGGCAGGCAACAGCCAGGTGTTAGGTAGACCACAGGCTGACCCAATGCAGGTGATAGACAGGTGACAGACAGGTTGTAGGAAGGCAACAGCCAGGTGTTAGGTAGACCATAGGCTGACCCAAGGCAGGTGACAGAGAGGTCGTAGGCAGGTAACAGCCAGATGTTAGGTAGACCATAGGCATATCCAGGGCAGGTGATAGACAGGTGATAGACAGGTCTTAGGCAGGCAACAGCCAGGTGTTAGGTAGACCACAGGCTGATCCAGGGCACGTAGCCGGTTTCTTTCATGCATCGCTTCGAGGATGGTAGGGCTTGTAAACTGCTAACTGGGTGTCGAGTCTGTAGGGAGTCCCTGAGTCCACCCAGACAGTGTTTCTTCCAGACTTTTTTTCTCCGGGGGGCACTTGAACTTTTCGAGATGGCGTACTAAAATTTCAGGGGGGGGGGGCGGACACTGTTAAAAGTATATATATTTTTTCTGTATAAATTCCATTTCGGTCGACCTTAGGGGAGGGCTCCCCCCCCCCCCCCCCCCCCCCCAAAGAAACTCTGGAAGAAACTCTGCACCCAGATTTGATGAGGATCGTTATGGGAACAAAGGCGGCTGGGCATAGAGCTGACCACACCCCATCCCCCTTATGTATATCGAAGTAAACTGAAACACATGAACTAAAACACAAATCCTACCCTTTCCCCTACCAAACTTACCTAGACCTAGACCTAAGACAATTGTGCAGGTAAAGACTTTAAATTCGTGTAACCCCTGAGCACCACGGAAGTCTATTTTTGCCGAGTCAACTTACGATTGTCAACCAATCGCATTCAGCCGACAATGGAATGGTTGAAATAAGTCAATAACATACACACACACACAATGGAATGGTTGAGATAAGTCAATAACACACACACACACACACACTCACTCACAAAACAGTTTTCCGATTCATACTCGTTCATTCAATACACGGGGAAGAAAAGGTTCATTGCGACATGGGGTGGGGGTGGGTGTTAAGACTTCGCACGGCACTAGATGGAAAGGGGGGGGGGGGGGATTGCAACATTTCATATGACGCGTGGGCGGTCATTATGTAAGGTTTTATGACTAATTTAAAGCTAACGTTGAAGACATTTTTATGACTTCACAAATTTGGCCGGTGACTTGAGTTAAATGACTTCAGATCCGTGGTGTATATATTTATATAATCTATTATTAACGATAGGGCCAACTAGTGACTATTATACCAGTCGCAAAGATTAGAACGAAGGTTAAAATTATTTTGATACTAATGGCATTAGTTATTAAACTGGTGTTGAAACATTTGTTGGTTAAAAAAAAGTTTGACTGGTCATTTTTATATTCACGTTAAAAAACTTATTGATATAGATGGTGAGGTTCCGTTAAGGTAATATGGTGAGGTTCTGCAAGGTAATTAATTCCATAAGCTAGTCATTGTGATGTCATTAAGTCAGCCTACATTTATTTTACATCGTAAAAATAGTTCCTAAAAATTATGCGGTTAGATTTTAACGATGTCAAGTTATAAATGTCAAGGAAAAAAATGTCACAAAAAATAAATAGCACAAACATATGGCAGTGAAGGAAAACAATGGCGACACAAAAATAGTGCTAACAAAATTCATGGTACCAAACTTAATGGTAACACAATTCATGGTACCAAACTTAATGGCAACAATATTAATGTTATCAAACATAATTTGAACAAACTTGATGGTACAAAACACAAAGTGAACAAACTTAATGGCAACAAAATTAATGGTACCAAACTTAATGGCAACAAAATTAATGGTACCAAACTTAATGGCAACAAAATTAATGGTACCAAACTTAATGGCAACAAAATTAATGGTACCAAACTTAATGGCAACAAAATTAATGGTACCAAACTTAATGGCAACAAAATTAATGGTACCAAACTTAATGGCAACAAAATTAATGGTACCAAACTTAATGGCAACAAAATTAATAGTACCAAACTTAATGGCAAGAAAATTAATGGTACCAAACTTAATGGCAACAAAAATAATGGTACCAAACATAATGTGAACAAACTTAATGTTACCAAACATAATGTGAACAAACTTAATGTTACCAAACATAATGTGAACAAACTTAATGTTACCAAACATAATGTGAACAAACTTAATGTTACCAAACATAGTGTACATAATGTGAACAAACTTAATGTTACCAAACATAATATGAACAAACTTAATGTTACCAAACATAATGTGAACAAACTTAATGTTACCAAACATAATGTGAACAAACTTAATGTTACCAAACATAATGTGAACGAAATTAATGGTACCAAACATAATGTGAACAAAAACGGCATTAAATATGCCGAAAGATTGCCTAACGTATAATGGAACGACGAAATAACGACAGCCAAAAAATATAATGGCACCGTTTTATTCCGAGCAAACAAATAACTCTCTTGTAGGAATGAGCCCACGCAGTTCAGCTCCGTGTCAGGTCGCTGTGAATAACGGTTCCAGTAGGTGACGGGGGACGCGGTTAATTAGGGGAGGGGAGGGAGGTAATTGTTGGGGGGGGGGGGGATAAATGTTAGCCAGGTCTGGGATGGTTGAAATATTTTGGCGAGGTGTGGGATAGTGAGGTGTGGTATGGTGAGGTGTGGGGTGGGATGGTTGTGTGGGATGGTGAGGTGTGGGATGGTTGTGTGGGATGATGAGGTGTGGGATGGTGAGGTGTGGGATGGTTGTGTTGGTGAGGTGTGGGATGGTGAGGTGTGGGATGGTGAGATGTGGGATGGTTGTGTGGGATGGTGAGGTGTGGTATGGTTGTGTGTGATGAGGTGTGTGATGGTTGTGTGGGGTGGTGAGGTGTGGTATGGTTGTGTGGGATGGTGAGGTGTGGTATGGTTGTGTGGGATGGTGTGGGATGGTGAGGTGTGGGATGGGATGGTGAGGTGTGGGATGGTGAGGTGTGGGATGGGATGGTGAGGTGTGGCATGGTGAGGTGTGGGATGGTTGTGTGGGATGGTGAGGTGTGGGATGGTGAGGTGTGGGATGGTGAGGTGTGGGATTATTGTGTAGTATGGTGTGGTGTGGGGTGGTGAGGTGTGGGATTATTGTGTAGTATGGTGAGGTGTGGGGTGGTTGTGTAGTATGGTGAGGTGTGGGATGGTTGTATCGAGATGGAGAGTTGTGGGATGGTTGTGTGTGATGGTGGTGTGGGATGGTGAGGTGTGGGATGGTTGTGTTGGTGAGATGTGGAATGGTTGTGTTGGTGAGGCGTGTAATGGTTGTGTGTGATGGTGAGGTGTGGAATGGTGAGGTGCGGGATGGTTGTTAGGTTGGTGAGGTGTGGGATGGTTGTGTGGGATGGCAAGGCATTGAGATAACCTTTCAGTGGTGGGGATGTCATATTAAAAAGCAAAGCTGAAAAGCGGAGCTGTCTATGTAAAGTTGAAAAGTTAATTCTGTGAGCATATGACTCTGTAAAGTTCAAAGGTCAAACCTCACAGCCAAGATGCCAATGTAAACAGCCGAGACGAGAAAACAGTTTCCGGAAATCGATTTTGTTTAATCAAGCAAGCCATGTTGGCAAATATAATGATCCGTGGATCGATACCACGGCTGAATGATTTAGATGTCGACAGGGTTAGTGGGAGCTTTCTTCTGCTCAGATTAAATAATATGGCGGTGTTGGAGCGGTGTTTATCTGGCGACGTTAGGTTAGGTCCAGGTTAGATTATTGCTGTGGTAGCAGGAAGAGCAGGCAGTTACTGCCACTTCGATATGAAAAGAGTGACTGTAAAAATACCCGCTTGACACAAAACAAATGTGGGTTCTGAGATCTTACCTATCTCAGAAATAATCGGGCTCCGGGTGCCTCCAGGGCTTTCGCATGTCTCATAACTAAATGGGGGTCCTCCAATATGCTTATTTTATGAGAAAATTGCTTATTGAAAGTCTCGAGTTCGGATCGTGGGATGTCTCAGCTCCCTACATAATGAGTGGGTACTGGACTGACATTAGGGAATGTAAAGGCAGTTAGATGCTGACCACACTATCTCTTCATATGGTTAGGTTACAGACAGATCAATATCTCATCAGTTCTATGAATCACCAAGTTTGAAAGGGTAACTCGAATACATCTCGCAAAAAAAATGGGGATCTCACATATCACATAAATAAATGGTATCATTGAACAAAGGCTATGAAAGCAAATTCAGAAAGAAAAGCAGTTGAAATGAAATTATGTTAGACAAAATTTCTTCCAATAAGAAAATTAAGAATCAGTGGAGCGTTGCTGAGTCCACCCAGCTCTGATGGGTACCTAACTTTAGTTAGGAAAACAAAGGCGGCTGGGCATAGGGCTGACCATACTTTCCCTTCAAACGCCAAGGCATCTGAAGCAGATGAACTCTACTTCATCTGCCCCATGTTTCTTGGGCACAAACGGGAAATGATGATGATGATGATGATGAATACATTTAAGGATGAAAAAGAAAGAAAATGGTATTAAAAACGGGGCTCGCTAACATCTCGTTAAAAATGGGGCTCTAAAAACATCAGAAATAAATGGGGGTCTCATGATACATATAGGTCTATATCAGAAATAAATGGGACCATCAAATATCCAATAAAAATGGGGCTCTAAAAACTTCAAAAATTATTTGGGACTCAAAAAAATTGGTCTGTCAAATATCTCAGAAATAAATCACGTAATTCTCAGCCAAATGGAAGCATATCTGAGAAAGAAATTGGGCTTTCCTGTCTAAAACAGTGTTATAAAGCTAAAAAAACTTGTTCTGTTGGGAGAGTGATTTATTACTCTGATATTTTAATAGTGTAAGACAACATAAAATATTTTAAGCCAGGTGTACTGCAAGTTCAAAATTAAAAACTTTCAGACTAACCAAAAAAATTATTTTGATTTTTAGAATTTTGTTTCTTGGTAAAAAATCTAACATTGAGCACCAACAACGAATAAACACAACATTCAAAAGTATTTTTTACACAGTTCCAGTTTAAAAATATTTATTTGTTTATAAATCATTTATTGTCACTTGTTATAATTGACATTTTAAAGATTTGTATCACATTAGCTTTTGATGATGATATGCTAGTTTTGTGCTAATCAAAGCTTGGTATAAAAAAACCGTATAAAACGCAAACAAAAAATTAATTACTAGTTCTCTTGTATGCGACTACGTAAATACTCAAGCAGGGCGTTGGTTCCTTTTGCCAAGATGGCTGACCTTGGGTTGCGCAGCGGGTTACCAGTTAGCAAGACAGACCTGAAAGGTTAAAGGCACTGGTTTAAAGTGGAATATGGTACAAGGTGGAAACAGACATGTGCAGGTCTATAAGTAAATAGACGGAGAAAACTGCTGGAATATAGGGCTCACTACTGGGATGGTCATCAGATGAAACAGAGTTTATTTGTTTCAATGACCTTGGTATATGAAGGGATTGTGTGGTCAGCACTATGTCCAGCAAACTTTGTTTCCCTAACGAAAGTCAGGTACCCATGATGAGCTGGGTTGACTCAGGAACGTCCAGCAGTCCAAACTAAGATCTGAACTGGAAACCATCAGGGTGGCAGTCAAACACTCAACCATTCAACCACACCATCCCCTGGGCTATTACTGAACTTGATTTTATCAACTTATTACTTGACTTGTTTCCTCTTCTTTTTACTTTGTATAGAATCATTTACTTTTTGCATAGAGAGATTTGTCCAGTTAAAGTTGCATTTAGATTTATGATGTTATTTAATAAGCCAAAAAAAAAGTAAAGTTCCATTTTCTAACCTGACTGTCCATGGGGCAAGTGAAGTAGAGTTCCCCTGTTTATGTGACCTCAGCATTTCAAGGGACAGTGCGGTCAGCACTATGCCAAGCCACTTTAACTTTAACCTAATGTGTTAGGCACCCATTAGAGCCGGGTGGGTTTGGGACATTCTATTGACTAGAACTTGAACCACATGTCCCTGTCAGTATTGTTCCTTTATAATATCCGGGCTTGCCAGGTTAAACAAACTTCACTAATGCAACCCCGCCTCCCCCCCTCATGCACCCAACCCTACCCCCACGCCCACAAAGCACTCACTTGAGCCAGGTGCAGTTGCCCAGCTGTGGGGGGACCTGGGTGATGTCGTTGTTCTGCAGGTCAAGCGTGGACAGCTTGGTCAGTTGGCTGAAGCCTGCGTGGTCAAGTTGGGAGATCTTGTTGTCATTGGCAAACAGAATCTCCAGGTTAGACAGCTGGAACACAACTGGCGGCAACTCTTGGAACCTGGGGGTCAGAGGGGGTCAACTTTAGACTAGAGGTGGGGGGGGTGTAGTAAAGCTGACAGCTGCTGTCATGTGCTGTCATTTTATGCTGCCTGCTGCTATGTGAATACATCTTCTGTCACATGCAGACAGCTTCTGACACCTGCTGTCACCCACTGTCATGTGCTGTCACCCACTGTCATGTGCTGTCACCCACTGTCATGTGCTGTCACCCACTGTCATGTGCTGTCACCCACTGTCATGTGCTGTCACCCACTGTCATGTGCTGTCACCCATTGTCATGTGCCAACACCTGCTGTCATGTGCTGACACCTCCTGTCATGTGCTGACACCTGCTGTCATGTGCTGTCACCCACTGTCATGTGCTGTCACCCACTGTCATGTGCTGTCACCCACTGTCATGTGCCAACACCTGCTGTCATGTGCTGACACCTGCTGTCATGAGCTGACACCTGCTGTCATGAGCTGACACCTGCTGTCATGAGCTGACACCTGCTGTCATGTGCTGACACCTGCTGTCATGTACTACCACCTGCTGTCATGTACTACCACCTGCTGTCATGTGCTACCACCTGCTGTCATGTGCCAACACCTGCTGTCATGTACTACCACCTGCTGACAAGCTTACCTGTTGTTAGACAGCACTAGCTCACGTAGATGTGAAAGTGTAGACAGCTCAGAGGGGAGACTACTCAACTGATTATTCCTGGTTGGGGAGATGAAAGAAAAATGGAATTAATATTGATTTTTATATACTTGAATTTGAAATCAATTTAATTAGTAGGAAATTATGGTCGATAGAAATTAATATCAAATAAAAAACTTTTCTCATATTAAATAATGGATTTCTTCAATACAAGACAATCTTCTTCTTCTTCTTCTTCGTTCTTAATTATTAGTGTTAAAGGGGGATCGAGATTTATCTGCCAGCGGGTTTGAACTCGAGACTTTTTGTTCGAATTTATCAACCATGAGCTTTTTGCCGACTCAACCACGCCTCCAACACAATTAAGCGTAGCGTGTCAACTGGTTATGCGCCATTGAGGCCATTGACTTCGATTTCAGCCTGCTTTTCTTTTTTGGATTTGCTTCCATAGCCTTTGTCCAACCATGAACAAACTACAAGGCAGCAGTTGTTTTAATTTTGGTTCGAACTCGAGACTTTTCAGTTTAGCAACCATGAGCTTTACCGACTCGACCACGCCGACCCCTTACAAGACATTGATAGCAACAAAAATTATTTTATTTTCTACAGGTGTTTTTGGAACAAAATGCTGTTTTGAGGTATTTTAAATTTTATAATTATATAATACTAGCCGTCCCGGCCAGGCCCTGCTCTGGCTTCTGTGAAAAACCTTTCTGTTAAAGACCATTACCTATGTGTTTAGTAATCATCATAAATCCGGCATTGCCCACCCAAACCACAACCAACCAAAACAACAAAACACAAACATAACGCAAACACAATTACAAATACAAACGAAAATAAAAACCTAACAACAAACCCAACCACAACCACAAACACCAATACAAACACAAAGAAAAAACAAACAAAAAAGCAAACGAAAACAAAAACCTAACAACAAACCCAACCACAAACACCAATACCAACACAAAAAAAACAACGAAAAAGCAAATGAAAACAAACCAAATCCAAACGCAAAACCAACCAAAAACACAAATACAAACCCAAACAAAAAAACACAAACAAAAACGAAAAAAGAAAGAACAAAAACGAACCAAATCAAAACACAACCACTAACGCAAACCCACCTAAACACAAAAAAAACACTAACGCGAACATAAACGCCCGGGGCGGAATCACCTGTTTTAGCTTAATGAACGACTATAGTACCCCAACTTATTCATAGTCTTTTGCACTCACTTAAACGAACGCGCCTGTTTCAATTTAATGAACAATTTTAATACTCCAAGCTTATCCGTAAAATACCTACAAAATATGCACTTGATCAATCCGCGCTAATTATGTAATTATTTTTTTTCCCAACACCAAAACAAAGTAATAAAAAGTAAATTATTTTCCACTAATGCAATGGTTTTATAAAGGGAAGTAATTGTGTTTTCCTAATTTATCAAAGGGAAGTAAGTGCTATAGGACTAAATAAAGACATAATTAGAATTTTTGTAAAAGATGATATTTTTTTAAAACTTGTGTTTAATGAACATGCCGACAATTATTACTATAATTTGAAAAATGCAAATTATTTCCCAACACTTTCAATAGTAATTTTTTTAACTCATAAATTTAGACAAATGCGCACGATAATTGTCTAACACTTAAATCCATACAAGACCAACGACAAACATATGCGTTACATACAGAACTGAGCTTTATATATTAGATTCTACTGTTATAAATCTATTTTTATCTGAACGTCATTAGTATTATAGCAGATTTACAAAAAAATAACAATGCTTGAATTGTTGATTATGTGCATGAAACAAATAAATACAATTTGTAACTTTAAAAAGTGCATGAAGAAAAATAAAAAATAAAAATACTGTATCATTTCAATTAAGCACACAGTAAGTCAAGACATGAAGCATTGAATACCTGAGGTCTAAGAACTGTAGCTTGTGTAGGCCAGCAATGACAGGAGAGACCTGCACCAGCTTGTTGGTGCCCAGGTTCAGCTCAGTTAGTGTAGAGGACAGGAGGGACAGGCTGAAATAGGGGGGAACAATTGTTAGTGTGGGGGACAGGAGGGACAGGCTGAAATAGTGGGGGGAACAATTGTTAGTGTGGGGGACAGGAGGGACAGGCTGAAATGGTAGGAGGACAATTGTTAGTGTGGGGGACAGGAGGGACAGGCTGAAATGGTAGGAGGACAATTGTTAGTGTGGGGGACAGGAGGGACAGGCTGAAATAGTGGAGGACAATTGTTAGTGTGGGGGACAGGAGGGACAGGCTGAAATAGTGGAGGACAATTGTTAGTGTGGGGGACAGGAGGGACAGGCTGAAATAGTGGGGGAACAATTGTTAGTGTGGGGGACAGGAGGGACAGGCTGAAATAGTGGGGGAACAATTGTTAGTGTGGGGGACAGGAGGGACAGGCTGAAATAGTGGGGGAACAATTGTTAGTGTGGGGGACAGGAGGGACAGGCTGAAATAGTGGGGGAACAATTGTTAGTGTGGGGGACAGGAGGGACAGGCTGAAATGGTAGGAGGACAATTGTTAGTGTGGGGGACAGGAGGGACAGGCTGAAATAGTGGAGGACAATTGTTAGTGTGGGGGACAGGAGGGACAGGCTGAAATGGTAGGAGGACAATTGTTAGTGTGGGGGACAGGAGGGACAGGCTGAAATAGTGGAGGACAATTGTTAGTGTGGGGGACAGGAGGGACAGGCTGAAATGGTAGGAGGACAATTGTTAGTGTGGGGGACAGGAGGGACAGGCTGAAATAGGGGGGAACAATTGTTAGTGTGGGGGACAGGAGGGACAGGCTGAAATAGTGGGGGAACAATTGTTAGTGTGGGGGACAGGAGGGACAGGCTGAAATAGTGGAGGGGGGGGGGGGGAACGGACAAAATTCTCAACTATAATACAATGATTTGCATTAGTAAACATAAAATTTTAAATTTGTTTTAAAATAATATACTTTGTAAAGTAAAAATAAATCCATTTATTAGAACCCCCTCCCACCCCAAAAAAAACCCCACTGGTTTGCTTCTGCTTCGTTCTGAATTATAATGTTGGACAGGATTTCCTCCAACACAGTTAAGCATTACATGTCAATATGTTATGCACCATTTAGACCACTGACAGCCTGCTTTTTTTTTCTGGATTTGTTCTTAAGCCCTTGTCCAACCAAAAACAACTACTAGGCCACAAATGCTTGATTTTGGAGTTGTCTCTCCTAGATAGTTGCTGTCCACAGCTAACGAGCCCTATCTGCCCAGGATCCACAATTAATAAAGCAGTTGTAAACAACATCGCTAGCTTACAATCCAATTGAAAAGATCGTTCATCGAATAAATATTTTTTCTTTAAATTACTTCCATTGTACATACTTAATAACGTGTATTGTGTATGTCTACAATATTAATAAATTAGTTAGTTGGCTGTATAATCTTATGACAATGTCGGCTAATAAATGTTAAATTCAATTTTCTGTAAAATACCATGATGATCTCAAATATATAAAATTATGACTTACAAATACTTACAAAGCCACCCCAGTTTGTCAATTAGAATGTTATAAATGGAAGAGTAAAGGAAACCAAAAATGGATTAAAGTTAATGTAAGAACACACACACACACACACACACATATATATATATATATATATATATATATATATATATATATATATATATATATATATATATATATATATGTATATATATATATATATATATATATATATATATATATATATATCTTATAACAGGACAAACTTCATAGTAGGTTTATTATTGTAAGGGTTACAAAGTGTAACAATGACAGACTTGCTTGGCCTCACCAATGACATGACCTTTTGTGACCCTTGATATTTTGGCACTGAGAGAAAATTATCAGGGGGCGTAACTCAAATAACTGTAGTGGGTTTATTTCTGGGTTTAACTACTGGAATTTGTAGTTTTTTTATTTACTTTTTATGGTAGAAATGATTTCATAAGACATTATTGGTAAAGTGTTATATTTAAGTATCTTACATTTGTGTTATGGTGTGTTGGTGTATAGGTGTTAGGATAGCATGTATTGGTGTTCTGATGTAATGGTGTATTGGTGTTAGAAAAAGGTGTTTGAACAAAGTATTGAAATAGGTGATAGTGTTTAACGGGGTGTATTGGCGTTATGGTGTAAGAAAAGGTGTAATGGTGTATTGGTGTGACAACAATAAGTAGTGGTGTTACGAAAAGTGTATTGGTGTTGTGGGTGTCTAGGTGTTAGAAAAGGTGTTAACTCACTTCTGAGGGACATCTGTGAAGAGATTTTTGCTGAGGTTAATGACACGTATGCCTGCCTCTACTGCAGCTACCATAACCTCATCAGGTATACTGGGAACCTTTTTCTGGCTGAAATAACAAGCAAAATTTACATAGCATTTTCCTTCTAAATTAACTAAATTAACATGCAAAATTTGCTTTACTAAAATCAAGATTTAAAAGTTAAATACAAATAGGCCTATTTGGAAATATTAAGGAAGTAGAAATTTAGAAAAAGAAATATAAAAATCAAAATAAAGCCAATATTATAAGTCTCAACTGGTGATAGCTCTACACAAACATGGACAACTAGTGTAAAAACTATTCCATTAATCAGCTTCATTAAATTTTACATGACTACAAATTGTACAAAAACCCACCTGTAGTTTAAAGACTTCATCACACAACAACAACGACCCACCTGTAGTCTAAAGACTTCATCTGATGCAGATCGTACAACCCCTCACCTGTAGTCTAAAGACTTCATCACACAATAACAACAACCCACCTGTAGTCTAAAGACCTCACCTGTAGTCTAAAGACCTCACCTGTAGTCTAAAGACCTCACCTGTAGTCTAAAGACCTCACCTGTAGTCTAAAGACTTCATCTGATGCAGATGGTACAACCCCTCACTTGTAGTCTAAAGACCTCACCTGTAATCTAAAGACCTCACCTGTAGTCTAAAGACCTCACCTGTAGTCTAAAGACTTCATCTGATGCAGATGGTACAACCCCTCACCTGTAGTCTAAAGACCTCACCTGTAATCTAAAGACCTCACCTGTAGTCTAAAGACCTCACCTGTAGTCTAAAGACTTCATCTGATGCAGATGGTACAACCCCTCACCTGTAGTCTAAAGACTTCATCTGATGCAGATGGTACAACCCCTCACCTGTAGTCTAAAGACCTCACCTGTAATCTAAAGACCTCACCTGTAGTCTAAAGACCTCACCTGTAGTCTAAAGACTTCATCTGATGCAGATGGTACAACCCCTCACCTGTAGTCTAAAGACCTCACCTGTAGTCTAAAGACTTCATCTGATGCAGATGGTACAACCCCTCACCTGTAGTCTAAAGACTTCATCTGATGCAGATGGTACAACCCCTCACCTGTAGTCTAAAGACCTCACCTGTAGTCTAAAGACCTCACCTGTAGTCTAAAGACTTCATCTGATGCAGATGGTACAACCCCTCACCTGTAGTCTAAAGACCTCACCTGTAGTCTAAAGACCTCACCTGTAGTCTAAAGACCTCACCTGTAGTCTAAAGACCTCACCTGTAGTCTAAAGACCTCACCTGTAGTCTAAAGACCTCACCTGTAGTCTAAAGACCTCACCTGTAGTCTAAAGACTTCATCTGATGCAGATGGTACAACCCCTCACCTGTAGTCTAAAGACCTCACCTGTAGTCTAAAGACCTCACCTGTAGTCTAAAGACCTCACCTGTAGTCTAAAGACTTCATCTGATGCAGATGGTACAACCCCTCACCTGTAGTCTAAAGACCTCACCTGTAGTCTAAAGACCTCACCTGTAGTCTAAAGACCTCACCTGTAGTCTAAAGACCTCACCTGTAGTCTAAAGACTTCATCTGATGCAGATCGTGTGGTCTGATCATCTCCTTCTCAGCCCCAGGCAAGCCAACATTGGTACTGGACACTTCACTACATTGGCTCTTGTCTGATTCTTCATCGGTCATTCGACTAAGCAGGTATTTCTTCAGTTCCATAGTACCTCTCTGTAATTTTATTATTTGTTTAGTTCTTTTAAATCTAGTATGGGACAGAGTGGATGGATGAAAGAGTCCACCACTGCTAAAAGTCTCTAGTTCGAATCTCAGGTTTGAGTCCATATGATTTCCCTGAGTCCACTCAGCTCTGATGGGTACCTGACTAACATTAGGGAAAAGGAAGGCAGCTGGGCATAATGGTAACCACATTATCCCTCCATATGCTGAGGTCACAGGTAGACATAAACATTGCTAGATTTGAAAGGGTAACTACACTTTACCTTTATTAAACTAGTAGTTAATTCACCACTTACTAAAACCTATAACATAATTTTAAGTCATTAAAAAGCCTTACCATAATATTAATAGGATGTAAAACCTTAATGATTTCACCTGATTAACTAAAACCCTTTATAAATTAAACCATTTAAAGTTAAACCATAATATTACTGACCAAACCAAATACCTTATTTTAATGTGAACTGAATAACTAAAAGTATATTATAATGTTAAAAACTAAAACTCTTACTATAATGCTAACTGAATAATTAAAAAACTTAACTATAAAAATAACTACCTAAAAGCCTTACTATAACATGAACTAACTAAAAACCTAACCATAATGTTAACCAAGAAAAAACTTTACCATAATGTTAACCAAGAAAAAACTTTACCATAATGTTAACCAAGAAAAAACTTTACCATAATGTTAACCAAGAAAAAACTTTACCATAATGTTAACAAAGGAAAAAAGCTAACCATGATGTTAAAAAAGAAAAAAACCCTACCATAATGGTAACCAAGAAAAAACCTTACCATAATGATGTCTCTTCTGACAGACCTCATGGGATTACCCTCCAGGATAATGGCTTTCAGATTTGTCATGGTCCCCATCTCAAAGGGTAGCCTGTAAAAGGTAGCCTTCTTTTAATTGCCAGGTAGCCAGCATGACAGGTACATATGTAACTTATCCGAACAACCCAATCACATGTAACGAGTAAAAACAACTATTAAATGGTAGCCTGTAAAAGATAGCCTTTCTATATTGTCATAACAGATGCATATGTAAAATATTCTAACAACCCTATCACATTTATTGTCATTAGGTAAAATCAACTGTATATAAACTGTATATAAATATTTATGAACTCATACTATAAACTCAAGGAAAAAGAAAGCAGGGAAGGCCAAGGGAGATGTTGCGGGGAAGTAGCTGCTATGAAATTAGCGGTGACAGACGAAAGTGTAGAGAGATTCCTCTAGTGGCCCCATGTCATGGGCACAAAAAGGAAAAGATGATGATTACAGCTATAATGCTATAGAAAAGGTACTAACATAACATACACACAGATAAACAGTTGAAACCAACCCAAGTACAACCAATCACACAAAGCCAATCTCTTTCAACTGATCTGATTGGTTGCACAGCTGAGTTGCCGCATGGGACGGAGTGGTCTAGCGGTAGAGAGCTGGACTGCTAACCCGTAAGTCTCGAGTTCGAATCCGGGTTCAAGTAGTAGACCGTCCCTGAGTCCACCCAACTCTGATGGGTACCTAACTCATGTTAGGGAAAGTAAAGGCGGCTGGGCATAGTGCTGACCACATTATCTCTTCATATGCCGAGGTCACAGAAACAAGTGAACTCTACTTCACTTGCCCCATAGACCATCAGGTTTGAAAGGGAAACTTTACTTTTTTACTTTTACTGAGTTGCCGCACATTAGTTGTAAACCAACTACACACGCATTTTTGAAAATTCAAATGACTTTTTATCTGTATTCAGAATACAGCACACACAAAAGATACTTTGCACGCAAGCTCTTGGCCTTTACATGGTATGTTAATTATAAACAGCCAATCATGAATCAACTTACACACTGATAAAGCAGCTTACACACTGACAAATCAACTTACACACCGACAAACCAACATACACACCAACAAACCAACATACACACCAACAAACCAACTTACACGCTGATGTCGTTGTTTGTGAGGTCCAGCCTCTCCAACTTCTTCAACAACGTAATCTTCTCCGGTATTTTGGCAATTTTGTTGTCCCTGAGATCCAGGCAGGTGAGAGCTGACAGGTGCTGCAGGTGGTCTTCTGTCAGGCCGCGGATGTTGTTGTTGCCGGCTAAAATTTCCTGGGATAGATTACACGTTTAAATTAACAATTAGTTCAAAGTTAGGTGCAAAATTTTTGATCAAACAGAAAAATACATTCTCAACTAAAAGATTATACAGGTATCAGAATGCATGGTTTGTAACTCAAACGTCTTGAAATTCATTCCAAGACTTGAGTCCATAGGACTTCCCTGAGAACATCTAGCGCTGATGGGTAAAGGCAGATGAGATTAGAACAGAATCAGGCAGACTCTACTTCCTCTGTGCTAAAGCCCTTCAGATCTCTTGGGTAACTACTTTTTTCTAGTACATAGTTAGACATGATCATTTTGTAGTACAAAAGTACATTGAATCAATATCTGAGGTATTACAAAACAATCGGGGTTGGCATGGTCAGGTTGGTAAAGCTCATGGTTGCTAAATTGAAAATCCCGAGTTCAAATACACGGGCAGATGAGGCTCGACAGCTGGGAAGGACACAATGTTGAGGAGAGAGAACTCCTAAACAAACAACAGCTGCCTTGTATGGCGCATGAGAACTTGACAGGGAATACTTGATTGGGTTGGAAGAAATATCACCCAACATTAAAACTAACAACGAATAAATAATAATTTTATGACACAAAGATTGATAAACACAAGTTTATAAAACTAGATAGAATCAATTATTTTAGGGGACTAGGTGAGGTAGGTGAGGTATAAAACTCACCTTTAGGTTAGTGCAGTGAATGAGACAGGACAGGTAGGTGAGGTATAAAACTCACCTTTAGGTTAGAACAGTGCCTGAGACAGGGCAGGTAGGTGAGGTATAAAACTCACCTTTAGATTAGTGCAGTGCAGGAGACAGGGCAGGTAGGAGAGGTATAAAACTCACCTTTAGGTTAGTACTGAGACAGGACAGGTAGGAGAGGTATAAAACTCACCTTTAGATTAGTACAGTGACAGGGCAGGTAGGAGAGGTATAAAACTCACCTTTAGATTAGTGCAGTGCCGGAGACAGGACAGGTAGGAGAGGTATAAAACTCACCTTTAGATTAGTACAGTGACAGGACAGGTAGGAGAGGTATAAAACTCACCTTTAGGTTAGTACTGAGACAGGACAGGTAGGAGAGGTATAAAACTCACCTTTAGATTAGTACAGTGACAGGACAGGTAGGAGAGGTATAAAACTCACCTTTAGGTTAGTACTGAGACAGGACAGGTAGGAGAGGTATAAAACTCACCTTTAGATTAGTACAGTGACAGGGCAGGTAGGAGAGGTATAAAAATCACCTTTAGGTTAGTGCAATGCCGGAGACAGGGCAGGTAGGAGAGGTATAAAACTCACCTTTAGATTAGTGCAATGCCTGAGACAGGGCAGGTAGGTGAGGTATAAAACTCACCTTTAGATTAGTGCAATGCCTGAGACAGGGCAGGTAGGTGAGGTATAAAACTCACCTTTAGGTTAGTACAGTGCCTGAGACAGGGCAGGTAGGAGAGGTATAAAACTCACCTTTAGGTTAGTACTGAGACAGGACAGGTAGGTGAGGTATAAAACTCACCTTTAGATTAGTACAGTGCCTGAGACAGGGCAGGTAGGTGAGGTATAAAACTCACCTTTAGGTTAGTACTGAGACAGGACAGGTAGGAGAGGTATAAAACTCACCTTTAGGTTAGTACAGTGACAGGACAGGTAGGAGAGGTATAAAACTCACCTTTAGATTAGTACAGTGCCTGAGACAGGGCTGGTAGGTGAGGTATAAAACTCACCTTTAGATTAGTGCAGTGCCTGAGACAGGGCTGGTAGGTGAGGTATAAAACTCACCTTTAGATTTGTGCAGTGCCGGAGACAGGGCAGGTAGGTGAGGTATAAAACTCACCTTTAGATTAGTGCAATGCCGGAGACAGGGCAGGTAGGTGAGGTATAAAACTCACCTTTAGATTAGTGCAGTGCCTGAGACAGGGCAGGTACTGGAGCTGGTTGTGCCGTATGTGGAGCTGCTCCAGGTGTAAGAGGTTCCCAAACTCTTCAGGGAGGTTCACAAGCTGGTTGTGTGTGGCATCAAAACGACGCAGCGCTGGGGGTGTAAAGGGGGGAGCTGATGTTATTACTTCACATCCAGCTACAGGTAAACATAACACAAAGGATCTTAATATACCTGTTAAAGCCCCTATCCCAGGTGGGTCAACAACCTACCTGTTAAAGCCCCAGGTGGGTCAACAACTTACCTGTTAAAGCCCCTATCCCAGGTGGGTCAACAACTTACCTGTTAAAGCCCCTATCACAAGTGGGTCAACGTCCTACCTTTTAAAGCCCCTATCCCAGGGGAAAAGTGGGTCAATGTCCTACCTGTTAAAGCCCCTATCCCAGGGGGCAGGTGGGTGAGTCTGTTGTTGGAGATGTTCAGGTCTCTCAGCTGTGACAGCATGCACATGTAGTCAGGTAAACTTTTGATCTCATTATGGGACAGGTCCTACAACAGGTAAACTCAGTTGAACGCACAACAAAAACAGTTGCACAAACATAAGCAACTACTTTATAACATTTTTCTGACCTACACGGTTGGTTTAATAAAACTGTTTTTCACACTAACTTCTAAGGGTAATATTTATGGCAACATGCACAATCTCACAAATTTACAAAAACTTGTCATTTCATTTATTTATAAAATAATGCAAAAACTTTGAAATACAATCAAGTGTCGTTACAAGGTTTCAATCACTTCAAATTTTCAAGGAGATTTAATGCAGCTATGAGATTTGTCATGTAGCTGAACTCTAGAGAAAAGCCAGCTTATCACATAACAAATGTTCATATAATTATATGGGTTGCATTACGTAAAACTGTTTCCAGTGTGAGATGCATTCATTTCAACGTAATATAAAATGAACTCATTGCATGGTTATGTTATTATTATTTTATGATGAAACAAAACTTTTATGCCATGAAGGGATAAGTTCATTCAAAGCCTTATTATGGCTTTCTTAATATATATTTTTTTAATTTCTAAATCAACATTTCACGTAATTATATATTTCATAATATAAAAACGTGAATATTTGTATCTCACCAAAAAGTCCAGACTTTTAAGGTTGCAGATATCTTCACAGAGTGTGGTGAGTTGATTGTTTTCTAGCTGGAGAGTGGTCAGATTTAGCAAGCAGCCCACTTCGCTGGGAATCTCTTTCAACTGGTTTCGGCTGTTAGAGAGAATTTGTCAAAATCAATTGTCAGACAAAAATACCAAGGTAATTAAATGCACCTCATTTTACACAAACTGACTTGTAACATAAAATTTAACGCCATTCGAATTTAGAATAACTCTATTGGTTTAGTTTTATTTTTTTTAAATGTATTCACTTGGTAAATCATGACTTGATAAACAATCAAAAATATTATGAATATAATTACCACAAATGCTGAAAATAATAAAACAGATCCTCTGTTTATTGGTGTTCTTTCATTATGACAAAATTGTTAGCAATAATTACTACTCAACTAGTTTTTTTAAGGTTCATTACTTTTGTTTCAGATACAGTAAGCACTTAGGAACCTTGCACTCAGTGAATTCCTACTCTGATAAATACACGGCAAATCCACACATTTATATTTTGCTAATTTTAAATTAGATAATTTAATAGCAGTAAAAAAAAGTTACTAAAGATCTTCACCTGATGTTAAGTTTTTGTAGATTCTCCAGAACTTTAATGGCCTTGGGTAAACTTGTTAGAGCATTATCATGGAGCTGATCAGATGAGAGATGGGGGATGACAAACATTACCGTTCAGTGTATTTTAAAATATACTGTTGTATATCAATATATATAAATATCTATATAGCTATATATAGTTCCCAGACAAATGTGCAAATTAGAAACTGTGCAAAAGAAAAATGCGAAAATACAAACAAGTTATACTAATACATTAAATTTTTTTAATATTTTGTGGAAGTGTTTTATTATGCTGCAATGTAAATGCATTCATTCTTTCTTAATGTCTACAAATGCTTGATTTAAGAAAACAAAATGCCATTGCACACTTTTTTTTTCGCAGTTTTCCATTACCAGTTAATATCTACATATATTCTTTTACTCAAGCATGATACATCTAGCCAGTGTAACTTTAACATTCAACTTTCTATAACGCTAGATCAATCATTGGTAATATCCTACAATAAAATTTTTATATAAAACCATAAATCTTACCCTAATATAAAACTTACATCTAAAACAGTCAGGGCGGTAAGGTTTGCTATACCATCCTCAAGACTAGACAGCCGATTGGATGCCAGGATTAGCTTTGTGAGATCCACAGATTCCCACCACTTCTCATCCGTGTTATCCAGGGACACACTCTTGGATTCCTCTGGTATAAATTCTTGGATGTTCCAGACACTCTCTGGCACTGTGGCAGGACACAATGGCTTACGTTATGATGGGGTTAAAGAATTAATGTGGAATATTTTATAATTTAATTTAAAAATGTATAATGATGGGATGGGGACAGTGTGGTGGACAGGTAGAGCATTCTACTGTTAACCTGAAATTCTCTATTTCGGGTCCTAGGCTTGAGGCAACACAACGTCCCTGAGTCCACCCAGCCCTGATGGGTACCTGACTCACGTTAGGGGAAGTAAACACAGCTGGGCATACTGCTGACCACACTATCCCTTCATATGCTGAGGTCACAGGTGAACTCTACTTCTCCTGCTCCATTTGTTCAAAAGGGTACTTTACTAATACTGATGGGTTCTTTATATTGATGATACGATGGGAGAGCATGGGGCTGTATTTAGGGCTCCTTATACTGATGGTACGTTAGGAGAATATGGGAATTTGTCGTGAGGGTTCATGAATTCGCAAAAAAATTAACTAATAATTTTAAGTTGACATAGCTAGTGGCACAAATATTCCAGAGAAAAAATGCTACTAAGATTTCATATCTATCAAAATACCTTTTTTATTTAATATTGAAAGTTGAATAAAACTGAAATCTTTAAGGATATATGATACAATCACAGTTTTTTTTAATTTTTACAATTTAACATCTGAAGTCTTTTAAATAATTTTGCTATATTTGACCAATAGACTCTAAGAATGTGTAAGTTTGAAAAAAAAAATTTTATTAATAGGGTAATAAAAATTATATTTTCAAACACAATAAAAAATATGTTCTCATTGACATTATTTCATAAATTAAAAGCGGATAAGTATCGAAAAGTGCAAGAAACCAGTTATGACAAAAAATCAGGATTTTATAAATTTTCTGCTAAGAAAATCCCCATAAATCACTTTTAACCTATCGCATACTTTCTTGCCCTTGATTATAATAGCCACACAGATTATCTCTCTTTTACCTTTACTTAATCCTCTCTGACTTAAATTCAGAACCCCAGACTTGCGAGCTTGTTTTAGTATTGACGGGTGTATACTATCTGTTAACAAGTTGGACTGGTCAGTTAAATTAGCATGTTCGTTTCCTCTACCAGCGAGCTGACGACCTTTCTTGAAGCTGGACATTTCTATCTGAATGTTGCTGAAATTCGTGTAATAAACAGGTTAATTTAAACCTCTAACCGTATAGTCTATTGTCAATATGAACTAACTTCAACTTTCAGTCTTGTCATATATATATTTTACATCTATGCTATGTCAGAGTCCACAGGAATGATAATGATAACGATAATGATTGACATAACATTGAAGACACCATTCTAAAATATTAAATTATGTTGGACTTGTTGAGAGATACCAAATAATTATTGCTAACCTGGACCAAGGACTTGTTTTTACTAATCTATATTTAAAAAATTATTTGTCATTTTAATGTAGTAGTATGTAGAAAAACCCTAACGCTAACCCTAACCCTAGCCTATTACATAGGCCTAATTAATAATCAAATAATTTTATAATTGGGCCTTGGGCCTATTTATTATTATTTATATTATTATTAAATTAATTGAATTTACTATAGGGCCTAGATTTTAGACTAATGATTAGTCATAGTCATCATAGTGAGTCATAGTGACTAGACTTTAGTAGACTAGGCTGACTGGTTGTACAATTGTTGTGACTAGCTAGGTCACTAGGCCTTGCAACTTGCTGCTAGTTTTGACTAAGTTTCGACTTACCCTTAGGCCTTAACTCTTTTAACTCCTTAACTCTTAACTTCTTAAGTCTCTTACTATTAATTTATTTTTACTTAGCGGCGAAAGCTGCTTAGTCAAGTCATTAGATTATTTATTATTTAATAATATTTAACTTGTTAGGGCTCAAGTCAATTCCAATCAATTAGAAAGATGAAAACATCCAAAATCTAGAGAACAATCACTGACTTATACTTTATACTTTATAGTGATTATAAATATAGATCTAGATCTAGATTCTAGTGAGATTGTGCGTACCTAAAACGATAGATTACCAAAATTAATTATTATAGACTCTCTAGTCTCTAGTATCAGTTGGTGCCTTATTTATTTATAAACAGTTGAAAGGGAGTCTACTCCTATATTATAGAATATTAATCTTTCACAGTAATCTACCTTGTTTGATTTCAATGACAAAAGCCTAATATTAATAATTTTAATATTTATTATTTGCTAGAACTAGATCTAGCTGTAATGTAAGCTGTATGATCACTAAAAACAAACTAAAATAAAGACTATAAAAAGCATTGACCAGAACCCTTTTATATACTACTTCTGTCTGTTACAGTGGCGTAGGCAGGGGGGGTTAGGGGGGGTCATAACCCCCCCCCCCCCATAGACCCCTCGGTATATATAAAAACTATGAGGGGGGGGGTGCAAATCGAAAGTTTGAGGGGGGGGTGCAAATCGAAAGTTTGAGGGGGGGGGGGTGCAAATCGAAAGTTTGAGGGGGGGGGGGTGCAAATCGAAAATTTGAGGGGGGGTTGCAAATCGAAAGTTTGAGGGGGGGGGGGGTGCAAATCGAAAGTTTGAGGGAGGGGTGCAAATCGAAAGTTTGAGGGCGGGGGTGCAAATCGAAAGTTTGTCCCCGGGTAAAAATTGGACCCCCCCCCCCCCCTTGAGACGATCCTGGCTACGCCAACAGACTCTGTTATATAAATAGAAATACGAACGCTCACAAAGGCGATATGAGCGTAGATCTAGAATCTATATCTAGAATCTAGATATCTAGTCTAGATCTATCTTGTTATCAAAACTGTGACGATAAGTAAATAATAATAATAGGCGGATTGGTTTGACTAGAGACTCTAGGTCGAATAGATATAGAATCTAGATACTTTTAGATTTTTAGATCGTCTTTGGGGTCGTCCAAGGTGATTGGTGATGCTAAGCAAAGCGGATTTTATCAAAGTGATTAGTCGAGTCCAGAGTTTCTTCCAGGCATCCCCCCCCCCCCGAACGAAATGAAATTCATGTGGAAAATATATACTTTTAACACCCCCCCCCCCCCCCCCCGGAGAAAAAAAGCCTGGTCGTCCTAGATCTATTTTCTATCTAGATCTACTAGGTCTAGTTAAATTTAATGAGACCCCTGCTTTTATTGTTAGCTGCAAAGATATTTTATAGGCCTAATCAGTTTATTTAATTAGATTCGAAGACACAGCTATTAATGAATATAATAAACATTGGTTACGATAACAACAAAAAAAAAGCGAAAATGGAAAAAGAAAACCTAACAGGGGAAATAACTCCGTTTTAAAAAGCATTGCATGTTTTTTTTAAAAACAACCTCTATGATAGCGGACGTGAATGAGAGCAATGCATCATCTATGCTTAAAACAAAAATACGCTAAAAATAGATAAAACAAAAGCAATTAATCGTTTTCAAATAAGTCCGCTTTCAAATTATAAACACGTTCTGCTGCAAATCTCAATTTGAACGCAGGGACTTCGGTTAATGTCCTTTTGTCTAAAGGATTCCCAATTTATGTATGGGTCGCGACTAAACCAAACATAACTATTCTTTTTTTAATTGGGTGGGATAACGGGTTACTTGACTTTTATTTTTTTAAAAAGGGGGTCGTCACTAGAAAAAAATTGGGAACCTGGTGTCGAAAGGACTATCAAGGCGTTCGTTGTAGACTACACCACACCCAGTTCGGCGACGGACACTTTTTTGGTGTTCGATTTTCTCAACTCTGACGAGTAGGTCGCCAGTGTTGATTTTCGCCTTGTTAGATAAGCATCACTTGAACGAAACTCTTAGAAGTCTTGAGATGGCTATAGCGCGTCTGGGGATATCTAATAAGGCTCTTTTTGGTGATAAACTGCTAATAAGTGTGTCAAAAACCGCTACCACTACTCGCCTTCCTGGTTGAGCCATGATAACATTAGAAGTGGAACTCAAACTTGATGTTGGTCTACGTTTCTTCGGGAGTCGCCTTGCTCACTTCACCTACCGCTGTTGGCCGTACACGATGGCGTTGTATGGCGCAGGTAGGTGGGGGAGTGGGGAAAAAAAATAATTCCATCTTGTTATGTCAGTTTTTTCCTTGACGCCTCCACTTCCACGCAGTTCCTGAAGGGGTAGGGCCACAGCAGAGTTGCTGGGTCTGAGCTAGGAGAGGCTAGAGTTTTTGACATTTTGGACCAAATACACTTAAACCTATTCCTTAAATTTTCCGGGGGGTGGGGAGGGGGGGCGGTCACTGTTAAAATTATATATTTTCTATATAAATTCCACTTTGTTTGCCAACACTTACACTTACACCTACATTACACATACACACTCAAGCACAGTATATACACACAAATACACACCCGCCCAACAGAGCACCCGCCAACAGAGCACCCGCCAATAGAGCACCTGTCAATAGAGCACCCGCCAATGGAGCACCCGCCAATCGAGCACCCGCCAATGGAGCACCCGCCAATAGAGCACCCGCCAATAGAGCACCCGCCAATAGAGCACCCGTCAATGGAGCACCCACCAATGGAGCACCCGCCAATGGAGCACCCGCCAATAGAGCACCCGCCAATAGAGCACCCGTCAATGGAGCACCCACCAATGGAGCACCCGCCAATAGAGCACCCGCCAATAGAGCACCCGCCAATAGAGCACCCGCCAATAGAGCACCCGCCAATAGAGCACCCGTCAATAGAGCACCCGCCAATAGAGCACCCACCAAACTAAAACCTACCTGTTATACATCTACTATGTCACTGCTTGCTCGTCATCAAATACCACACCCCCAACATTACCCAGTAAAACTTTTTATTTCCCCAAGTGTTCCCGCCATGAGTTAAATTTTTGCCAATTTCACTATAGCCAAAGTGGGTTGTTATTTTTTTTTCCTTGTACCTTACCGTATTAATGCCCATTACATCCCTTGCCGTTCTTTAATTTTACTAGTGTGCTTTGAGTTTTGCCCCTTTAAGCCTATGTAAATAATCTCTCTTATATAATTAATGATGCGCTTTTTTTTTTTATTTTCTCTAGGTGGACGGCGCATTTCTATTTTGACATACGTGTCACATTGTGACATCAAAATTGTTTTCATTTTTATGTCTATTGACATTGAGTAGCGTTTTTTTTTTTAAATATACACATTATTTCAGGCAATGCGCTTCTTTATTTAAATATATCTTCATGCTGAAGTTATGTGTGAGAGATTTAATAACCATCGTAATTAAGAAAAGTTATATCTTTTTTTTCAAATGACAAGAGCTACATTGTTTCTTTCAGACCTTTTACCGGGGGGGGGGGGGGGCATGAATTTTCCGGGGGGGGGGGGGGCGAACTGAATTTTCCGGAGAGGTGGACTAAATTTTCTGTGTGGAAGGGGAGCGGACTACATTTTTCCGGGTACCCCCACCCCTTCCCCTGACGAGATGCCTGAAAGATATACTGCAAGGTTACCCATCTGTGTTGTCGATCCCCCTCCCCCACCTCCCCCACCTCCACACACACACACACACACACACAAACACATCCCACCCTCAATGATAAACAAAAACAAGATGCCGCCAAGGCTACACTACCCAGGTCATCGTGACATTTCGTTAGGATCCGCCATCACCTTCCGTTCAAGTCAAAAATTAGCACTGGAATCGTGTTGTCATTTTTACTTTCTCGTATATACGAAGTATAGAGAAAGTCTTGTAATCGTGCAAAAAAAAAAAAATCGAGATTTTTGCAAATCTCGACGTTTTGCATCTCACTGATACGGAAAAACATAATTTTGCAATCTTGTCCGTATGTCTGTGTGTCTGTGTGTGTGTCTGTGTGTGTGTGTGTCCGTGTGTAAACACGATAACTTGAGTACCGTTACAGCTAGGTTGATGAAATTTCATATATAAGTATTTTATCAAAATCGTAGATCCGTATCAACTTTTGAGCGATTTCTGACAACCGGAAGTGGTACTTTTTCTACTTTGAATTTTTCAAAAGCCTATAACTTGAGTACTATTTCAGATAGATAAATGAAATTTCACATGTAAGTAAAAGATCTAATTCTCTACCTTCTGTTAAATTTTGAGTAATTTCCGTTGACCGGAAGTAGTAATTTACGCTACTTCCGATTTCTCAAAAAACTAATGTAAATTTTTAAAGTAATAATAATATTGCGCACTATTATGCGCTTTTTTATTTCGCGTTCACTTGGTGTGCAATTAATTTGTCTACGAGATTTTATTCTATTTTTAAAACTTTAAGTATTTAAAATGGATTAAAAATCATGTCTATAGCCCGAGTTCCCATCCCCTGTTATTTTATATAAGAATATTCGAGAAAGTTTAGGGGAGATCACTCCCGGTTTATTTTTTTATCTTTCTGAAACAAGATTCACTTCGCATTGCGAAAAAGTTAAACGTTAATGGAGCATCGAATCGAGAACGATGCTGATGTTGCCCTCAGGAAATCTCATGGTGTTGTTTTTTTGTTCTTCGCTAGTGAGGTATGGCCGTAAGCTTTTGGGCAAAGGGTGGGACCGGGTTGTGTTTACTGAATGGGGACAGCATTTCAACAGGGCTCCGGATAAAATGGTTTTGGTAAACACAATGAAATAAGTGTAGATACGATGCCCAGTAGGTGTATGTAGGACACCAAAATGTGTAGGACACTCAAATAGGTGCAGATAGGACACCAAAAAATGTGTAGGACACTCAAATAAGTGCAGATAGGACACCAAAAAATGTGTAGGACACTCAAATAAGTGCAGATAGGACACCAAAAAATGTGTAGGACACTCAAATAAGTGCAGATAGGACACCAAAAAATGTGTAGGACACTCAAATAAGTGCAGATAGGACACCAAAAAATGTGTAGGACACTCAAATAAGTGTATGTAGGACACCAAAAAATGTGTAGGACACTCAAATAGGTGTATGTAGGACACCAAAAATAGTTGTAGGACACTCAAATAGGTGTAGGTAGGACACCAAAAATAGTTGTAGGACTCTCAATCAAATAGGTGTATGTAGGACACCAAAAAATGTGTAGGACACTCAAATAGGTGTAGGTAGGACACCAAAAATAGTTGTAGGACTCTCAATCAAATAGGTGTAGGTAGGGCACCAAAAAATAGTTGTAAAAACGGGGTTGGGCGTTAAAACAACCGTAGAACACTAATGTTTGTAAAAAAAATCTGTGATGCGCCCACTGAAATAGGGTACCAAATTATCCAAAGACAGCTGAAAAAAATAATCCCCGAAAATACCTCGAAAAGATTTTCTTTTTAAATACTCCGCGATTATCCAATAATCTGGAGGATTATTGCGAGTAAGAAATCACGCCTGTAACAAACAATGCTAGAAATGAAAATAATCGAACACCACAGAGCTTTGATCTACATAGAACAATAGTTTATTAGCACAAACAACGCGTCTTAACAGCACAGTTTAAAGTTCTGGATCAGACTCACACACGATATTTTACCTGATAAAAACATAAATGTCTATAATACACTATTTTATTTCATTGACAGACACCGTGTCTACTGTTTCTAAATATAGAACATTGTGTTGAGACAGGCACCTTGTTGACCACTGAACAAATATTGGTTAGTTGTACATTATAGTGACCTAAATACATTCGATATTTACACAATTTTTTGTTCATCTTATTTAGAGAATAAAATTTTCTTTTTCAAATTTTCAAGAAAATTAAAAGCGAGAAAGTAAAACATAAAATAAAACTACAACGCTCATGTGAAAAAGTAATTATGATTTCGTTTCTCTTTTAAAAAAATAAATCTACAAACGAAAATTTGGCTTTAACTTTGGCAATAAATCTGTTAAATGTATCTGGCAAATTGATTGTTAATGGAATTCCTCCTCGTGTTTATCTTACAATATGTTTTTTTTAACAGTTCTAGCATGTTAATTTACATCACAGATAAGCTACTGCTACGACTAAGTAACAAAATGTACAGTGCTGATAACGAAATAACAGTATAGACCATGGTGGCAGTGTCACTCTGACAAGTTTCAGATTTTTGACAAAATGACAGTCGTCTGTTACATAATGATATGTTTGACATTTGGTTAAAATGAGTCAAATATGGCAAATTGACAAGTGCATCGAGCATGGCAAGACTAGGGACCAGGTTTGTTTGTTTTGTTTTTAACCTAGTATAGGTATGTGTGATATGGTAAAAAGATGTATGTATGACAGGTGTAGGTTGTATGACTAGTGTAGGTTGTATGACAAGTGTAGGTTGTATGACAGGTGTAGGTTGTATGATTGGTGTAGGTTGTATATCAGGTGTTTAACAGATGTAGGTTGTATGACAGGTGTAGGTTGTATGAAAAGTGTAGGTTGAATGACAGGTGTAGGTTGTATGATTGGTGTAGGTTGTATATTAGGTGTTTAACAGGTGTAGGTTGTATGACAAGTGTAGGTTGAATGACAGGTGTAGGTTGAATGACAGGTGTAGGTTGTATGAAAGGTGTAGGTTGTATATCAGGTGTTTAACAGATGTAGGTTGTATGACAGGTGTAGGTTGTATGAAAAGTGTAGGTTGAATGACAGGTGTAGGTTGTATGATTGGTGTAGGTTGTATATCAGGTGTTTAACAGGTGTAGGTTGTATGACAAGTGTAGGTTGAATGACAGGTGTAGGTTGAATGACAGGTGTAGGTTGTATGAAAGGTGTAGGTTGTATATCAGGTGTTTAACAGATGTAGGTTGTATGACAGGTGTAGGTTGTATGACAAGTGTAGGTTGAATGACAGGTGTAGGTTGAATGACAGGTGTAGGTTGTATGGCAGGTGTAGGTTGTATGACAGGTGTAGGTTGTATGACAAGTGTAGGTTGAATGACAGGTGTAGGTTGTATGACAGGTGTAGGTTGTATGACAAGTGTAGGTTGAATGACAGGTGTAGGTTGTACGACAGTGTATGTTGTACGACATTGTATGTTGTACGACATTGTATGTTGTATGTTGTATGACAGGTGTAGGTTGTATGCTAGCTCGACAGATGCAGCAAATAGTTGTCTTTTAACACATATAAGGCATATGTCGTATGAGACTTGTATTACATGTTATTCTTGTCATGTGTTGTGTGGTTTCATCTGTATATCTATTATCTTGTATGTCTTTTTTTTTAAGTCACCTGAATGACGTCTATATATGACATGTTGTACACAGCATTACATATGAAGTAGGTCATATATATATATATATATATATATATATATATATATATATATATATATATATATATATATATATATATATAATATATACAAAACATATATATATATATATATATAATAGCATTATTTACAATATGGCCTTTACATGTGAGTAAATATGGCTTGTATAATACGCATAAACAGCTATTTAGTAACGCTAGATTAACTCAGATTTTTAAATATTAACATAATTAATTAATATCCAAAGGAAAAAGAAAAATAATTCTCAAAAATAAAAATAATACCAAAATAAATTATATATATATATATATATATATATATATATATATATATATATATATATATATATATATATATATATATACATATATATAATATGAATATTCATCACAATTCACGGTATGTTTTTTACAATTTACGACTCTCTCATGTGTGAGGCCAGTGTAGTGTGAAACATTAGGTTCCCAGAAAGAACCGCAACGGAAAAAAGCGCAACGGAAAAAAGCGCAAATCAAAAAGCGCAACGGAAATAAGCGCACACGGAAAAAAGCGCAAAGAGAAAAAAGCGCACACAGAAAAAAGCGCAAAGAGAAAAAAGCGCAAACGGAAAAAAGCGCAAAGAGAAAAAAGCGCACACAGAAAAAAGCGCAAAGAGAAAAAAGCGCAAACGGAAAAAAGCGCAAAGAGAAAAAAGCGCACACGGAAAAAAGCGCAAAGAGAAAAAAGCGCAAACAGAAAAAAGCGCAAAGAGAAAAAAGCGCACACAGAAAAAAGCGCAAACAGAAAAAAAACGCAAACGGAAAAAAGCGCAAAGAGAAAAAAGCGCAAACGGAAAAAAGCGCAAATAGAAAAAAGCGCACACGGAAAAAAGCGCAAACGGAAAAAAGCGCAAACGGAAAAAAGCGCAAACAGAAAAAAGCGCAAACGGAAAAAAGCGCAAACAGAAAAAAGCGCACACAGAAAAAAGCGCAAACAGAAAAAAGCGCAAACGGAAAAAAGCGCAAACAGAAAAAAGCGCACACAGAAAAAAGCGCAAACGGAAAAAAGCGCAAACAGAAACAGAAAAATGCGCAACCAGAAAAAACACAAAGAAAAATGTGCAAAAGAGAAATTTAGCACAAAGACCATATGGACTAGATGACACATTTATACATGACTGTTAGGGCTGCTGTGAGAGTGTCGTGTTTGATCACGTGATCTACTACCATTTAAAGCGTACCACTACCATCTGCATTCCCATCACCACGATACAGGCGATAATCACTTTACACAATGCCTATTATTTTCTTGGTCAATAATTATTCAACTACTATTCTCGTATAAACATAAAACTATCGACATTACACGAAGTCTTTCACATTCTCCCTAGTCCGAACTACCTAGCTTGCATACTATAACAACCCGTTCCTATGGCAAAACTTCACTCTCTTTCATCCGCGTCATCAAACATGCATTCGTCATATCTCTCGTAACAACATTCGTTCGCACCAAAATAACAATTTTGTATTTAATATTTTTTCACATCATGACGCACCTACCTACCTACCTACTACCCACCTACCCACCTACCTACCTACCTACCTACCTACCTACCTAACTACCCACCTACCCACTTACCCACCTACCCACCTACCCGCCTACATACTTACCAAACTACCCATCAAAAAAGTATCGGCGAAGTTCGTAAGTTTCGTAAACTGTACTAGACATCTTTTTTTAATGAAAATTCATTGACATCATTGACATATGTTACATATATGTTACATTTTGCGACAACCTTAATTAGTGCGTTGGGCTTGTTTGAAAACTCACTTCGAACTAACTCAATTACATGCTATGTATTTTAACATTACACGGTAATATATATATAAAGTATGCGGGGGGTGGATATCAAAGTTTAAGGGGGGGGGGGTACAATCGAAAGTTTGAGGGGGGAAAAAGTCTGGAAGAAACACTGCATGTAGCCTGATGTTATTATAAAACTTCATCTCTCTTTGTTTCTTTATAAAAAGGTTATGGAAGGTTTTTAAGGTATTTTACTGAAATGTTTACCGGACGAATGCAAAATGATATAAACAACCATAGCTCTTCTGTTAAAAAGGCTACATGCAGTGTTTTTTCCAGACTTCCAGTGAGTTTTCATACAAGCCCAACGCACTAATTAAGGTTGTCGCTAAATGTAACATATATGTAACATATGTCAATGATGTCAATGAATTTTCATTAAAAAAAGATGTCTAGTACAGTTTACGAAACTTACGAACTTCGCCGATACTTTTTTGATGGGTAGTTTGGTAAGTATGTAGGCGGGTAGGTGGGTAGGTGGGTAAGTGGGTAAGTGGGTAGGTGGGTAGTTAGGTAGGTAGGTAGGTAGGTAGGTAGGTAGGTGGGTAGGTGGGTAGTAGGTAGGTAGGTAGGTGCGTCATGTGAAAAAATATTAAATACAAAATTGTTATTTTGGTGCGAATGAATGTTGTTACGAGAGATATGACGAATGCATGTTTGATGACGCGGATGAAAGAGAGTGAAGTTTTGCCGTAGGAACGGGTTGTTATAGTATGCAAGCTAGGTAGTTCGGACTAGGGAGAATGTGAAAGATACTTCGTGTAATGTCGATAGTTTTATGTTTATACGAAAATAGTAGTTGAATAATTATTGACCAAGAAAATAATAGGCATTGTGTAAAGTGATTATCGCCTGTATCGTGGTGATGGGAATGCAGATGGTAGTGGTACGCTTTAAATGGTAGTAGATCACGTGATCAAACACGACACTCTCACAGCAGCCCTAACAGTCATGTATAAATGTGTCATCTAGTCCATATGGTCTTTGTGCTAAATTTCTCTTTTGCACATTTTTCTTTGTGTTTTTTCTGGTTGCGCTTTTTTCTGTTTCTGTTTGCGCTTTTTTCCGTTTGCGCTTTTTTCTATTTGCGCTTTTTTCCGTTTGCGCTTTTTTCTCTTTGCGCTTTTTTCCGTTTGCGCTTTTTTCTGTTTGCGCTTTTTTCTGTGTGCGCTTTTTTCTCTTTGCGCTTTTTTCTATTTGCGCTTTTTTCTCTTTGCGCTTTTTTCCGTGTGCGCTTTTTTCTCTTTGCGCTTTTTTCCGTTTGCGCTTTTTTCTCTTTGCGCTTTTTTCTGTGTGCGCTTTTTTCCGTTTGCGCTTTTTTCTCTTTGCGCTTTTTTCTGTGTGCGCTTTTTTCTCTTTGCGCTTTTTTCCGTGTGCGCTTATTTCCGTTGCGCTTTTTGATTTGCGCTTTTTTCCGTTGCGCTTTTTTCCGTTGCGGTTCTTTCCGGCCACCGAAACATTATTGAGTAGTTACCTCCCATGTGAGGCGAACGTAACACATAGGGATGAAGGGAAATAACTCTGTTCCCCCTTTGATTCATCCAATCCTCGAATCAACACCTCAGTTTATGTACTGTTTTTTCTTAAATCAGCATTCTGTTTCACGGATCAACAGTATAATAAAAAGCCGATCAACAAACTTTTATTTTCTCAGTTAAAAAACAGCCCTCGTCGACATGATGGCGCCGTGGGCTTTAGGGGTCAGGCGTGACGTCATCGATGGCGTCAGATACTGGCCATCGTCACTTCCTCTGTGTGGCAGTTGCTGTAGTTGCTGTTGGAGAATGTCATGGTGAAGGTGTGGTCGCGGCGGACGTTCAGTGGTCGTCTGCCCAGTTTGGAGAAACAGCAGTAGCAAGCGGCCTTGAACTCTTTCCTGAACTTGGCTGGTATAAATTAGAGACGTATAAAATTTTACTGGCATATTAAAAAAAACTATTTACTACTTAGAGTTAAAGTCTTACTACAATTCAATAAAGGTTTTACTTCTGAGATATTTTGTCTAGGATAATTTGTCAAAGACCCGACTTCCAGCCACGATAGACCACACTCCCAGACAAAATAGACACAGAAGACCCGACTCCCGGACACAATAGACCCGACACCAAGACACAATAGACAGACACAATAGACCAGACTCCCAGACACAATAGACCCGACTTCTAGACACAATAGACCCGACCCAGACACAATAGACTGACACAATAGACAGACGCAATAGACCCCACACCCAGACACAATAGACAGACACAATAGACCCAACACCCAGACACTATAGACCCGACCCAGACACAATAGACAGACACAATAGACCCGACCCAGACACAATAGACCCGACTCTTAGACACAATAGACCTGACTCCCAGACACAATAGACAGACACAATAGACCCAACACCTAGACACAATAGACCCAACACCCAGACACAATAGACCCGACTCCCAGACACAATAGACCCGACCCAGACACAATAGACAGACACAATAGACCCAACACCTAGACACAATAGACCCGACTCCCAGACACAATAGACCCAACACCCAGACACAATAGACCCGACTCTGAAACACAACAGACACAACTTTCCAACACAATAGACCAGAGACAATTGAGCGATCAGAGATAGAATAGACCAATCAACGTGAAGGCACATCGCCAGCCAATCACCAGCTAACACTACACTCAGACCGAGCCAAAAAAAAATGACATCGAAAGTCAGCCGCGACTGTTGGTTGTAGTACTAGTAGGACCAACACGGTCCTATTGTCCTACCCAAGCTGATAGTTACAGCTTAGGGCGCTTGAATGTGGGGGGAGCGGGGTGAATTGAAAAGGTGTAGGGTAGAGAAAGAAAGGGGGGGGGGGGGTGTTTTAATTCCGATCTATTGCATAATCAAACAGAAGAAATGAGGAAACGTCGAAATGAGCGCGGTTCAAAAACAGAAAAAGTAATTTGATAATCGTTTCCAGCCGGGCTTACAGAATGGTACCAATACGTAATATTGATTCATGGTGAGCGACCGAGCAGGGAAAGACAGTGGGGGATACTGTTTACATTTTTGCCAGGGTTTGTGCGTGAGTTGAATGGAGAAAGGTCAACGTGACACAGACGTTCGGCGTAAAATTTATTAGGGATTTTTTTTTATTTAAAAATCAGGACAGAAAGCTTTTAGTGTTTTCCCTTCGTGAATAATTTCGCCAAACAATATTTTCACTTTGATCCTATTTAATAAAAAAATAAATTCGATTGATTGTTATGACAAAAGTTTCACCTCAGCCAACAATGTGTTTTTTTTCTTCTTTCTGCTCCATTGTTGGAGGGGGGGGGGGGGGCATATCGTGACTCGGAAATTATTTCAAATTTTACATTCGTGAATGAAATACTAATTTAGAAAATCAAAACCATTTCAAATTTTTTATACTTGGATATATATGGATATATATGGATATATATGGATATATATATATATATATATATATATATATATATATATATATATATATATATATATATATATATATATATATATATATATATATAAACAGTGAGAGAGAGACCCCCCCCCCCCCCCCCTCACTTCAACGGACTTAGCAGTGTAGTCACGACAATGAGCAATTTGTCCGATTTCCTTTTCATTACCAGCTTCTTGAAATCTAGTAAAGGTATTCAATGCATAATATAGCGACCCATGCTTTTCTTTTTAATTCTTTAAGAAGTAGTTCATTGTTATACATTTAACGAACATCATTTTATTTTATCCTTTTTAGTTGTTGTGAAAACGTTTGTATGCATTTTATTTTTTTAAATATTTCTAGGCCAGATCACACACACAAAAAATCCCAATTCAGTCTTACTCTTGGTTTTTTTTAAAAAAAAACGATATATCGATCACAAAGTCAAACCATTAGACTTGACAGCATGTACTTTTGGTCAGATGAAACCATGGAACCATGTTGAGACAGTGCTGACCGCTGTACAGTGGAAAATACTCAGACTGTACGAGACGATTTGATATCCTTTTCTTCTTGCGTTGGTCCAGGGTCATTGTGTGTGGCTAGACGGGAACGTCACTCGATCGGGATTTCCCGTAAAACCAAAATAGTATCACACTTTTTTACTTTCTCGTATATACGAAGTATAGAGAAAGTCTTGTAATCGTGCAAAAAAAAAAAAAATGAATCGAGATTTTTACAAATCTCGACGTTTTACTCCTCACTGATACGGAAAAAAAAAATAATTTTGCAATCTTGTCCGTATGTCTGTGTGTGCACGCCAAATGAAATGTGCATAATAGTGCCCAATATTATTAGTACTTTTTAAATTTACATGCGTTTTTTGAGAAATCAAAAATAGTTTAAATGAGTACTTCCGGTCAACGGAAATTACTCAAAATTTGACAGAAGGTAGAGAATTAGATCTTTTACTTACATATAAATTTCATTTATCTATCTGAAATAGCACTCAAGTTATAGGCTTTTGAAAAATTCAAAGTAGAAAAAGTGCCACTTCCGGTTATCGGAAATCGCTCAAAAGTTGATACGGATCCACGATTTTGATAAAATACTTATATATGAAATTTCATCAACCTAGCATCAAGTTATCGTGTTTACACACACACAGACAGACACACAGACATACGGACAAGATTGCAAAATTATGTTCTTCCGTATCAGTGGGTGTAAACGTCGAGATTTGTAAAAATCTCGATTTTTTTTTTCACGATTACTAGACTTTCTCTATATTTCGTATATACGAGAAAGTAAAAAAAAAATGTACGGGGAACTATTTCCAGACAGGGAAATGCATAAAACTAAAAATGTTTTTACGTCTTAGAAAAACGTATACAAATAAGTAAATGTTTTCTAAAAATTTAAACACATATATTTTTAATACAATATTAAACTTATTATTAAATTTATTCAACGTTTCCTACAAAAATATATTATTTATTGTTATTTATCGTTTTAACTATTATTTGTGTTATATTTTAATTTTTAGATCTAATAAAGTACACAGATTAGCAATATTAAATGTTTTATCTCCCTTATATCTGTAAATATGTACTTTAATTACATACAATTTATTTCGATATCTATACTGATTAAAACATTGAATTGATAGGAATAGTACTGAATTATTTGATATCAAGGTAATAATTATGTGGTTAAGTAAACTTAGACATATTTAGACATAATTAAATACAACTATGGAGTGAGGTAGAATAATGTAGAATAGACTCTTTTTTTTTTAAAAGTAGTCTCAGTAGGTAGGAGTAAGTACCAATCACCAGAAGCGTAGCGAGGGGGGGGGGGGGGCGGACCGCACCGGGTGACACCATTTAGGGGGGTGACACCAAGGCAAAAAATAGCAAAATATATAGAGAAAAACTTGAGGGGGGATGCAAATCGAAAGTTTGAAGGGGGGTGCAAATCGAAAGTTTGAAAGTTTGTCCCGGGAAGGGTTTCTACGCCTCTGGGGGGTGACACCATTAAGTGCCGCACCGGGTGACACCCGACCTCGCTACGCCACTGGCAATCACATAGCCGACCAATCAAAAGAGAGATGAGCAGTCACGGTCAGTTGGTCAGAGATAGCGTCAGTTGGCAGTCAAGCGTGTAGAAAGTCAGTCGAGTGTTAGAAGCAGTTGAACAGAGATACGTCAGTTAAGTGACAGTTATTGAGTTCCAGTTGATAGAAGTGTGATTATATTGTCTTAAAATAATGGAATATATTTTAGGCATTACTCTTATATTATACTAGATATCAGTGGAAATAATATGCTATCTCATACCAATTTTTTCAACTGAAATCAACAATATAACCACGCATCGACCAGCGCACATTTTTAATTTGTGGATTTTTATAGTAATCAGCAAAATAAAAGAGTTAAATGCCACACTTATCAATTTTCAACTTCATGGAGGAATGATATCAGTATAAAATATATTAGGACAAACAATACCATGGACAAATGATATCAGTATAAAATATATTAGGACAAACAATACCATGGACAAATGATATCAGTATAAAATATATTAGGACAAACCAGGGGTCGGCAACCTTTTGAAGCGGAAGAGCCAAAAGTTACAATTTTCAAAATTTCCATGGTTTTAAAGAGCCACTAACATTTTTTTATTTCAAATATTTTATTCTTTATTAAGATTATTAGTATTTGTTCAAGGAGCTGGAGAGCCGCATCTTGATATCAAAAGAGCCGCATGCGGCTCGCGAGCCGCAGGTTGCCGACCCCTGGGACAAACAATACCATGGACAAATGTACTCAGACAAAATATTCCACATCACAATACTATAGTATTTGGGAAGATTTTTTTTTTCAATTATAACAATTAAAAAAAGAAAAGATTGTTTTTGATTTTGATTTACTTTTTTTTATACTCAATAATTGTCAAAAAAAATGTGTTGCATAGGTTTGTCATATTACATTAAACCTGTTAAAATTGAAATTAGAAAGATAATATTCTTAGTTTCAAACTACATTTTAGGTGGGCTTGCCAAACATGAGATAATCCAACCACATCAGGTGGACAAAAATAGATAAAGGTTCAGCTTATCTATTGATGAAAGATCTGTGGAGACACACCTATGTAGCAAGGTGGACGCAGGGGCGTAGCGAAGGGGGGGGGGGCAGACCGCACCAGGTGACATCATTTAGGGGGGGGGGGTTGACACCAAGGCAAAAATAGCACAAAAAAATAGAGAAAAACTTAATGGGGGGGTGCAAATCAAAAGTTTGAGGGGGGGGGGGTGCAAATCGAAAACTTGAAAGTTTGTCCCCGGGAGGGGTCGCTACGCCTCTGGGGGGTGACACCATTAAGTGCCGCACCGGGTGACACCCGACCTCGCTACGCCACTGGGTGGACGT